ACGGATGGCATGATGATAGGGCTATGCATGTGACGATGGGATAGGGTTGGCATGAAGATGAGATTAAGTCTGGTCGTGACAAGGGAGAGGCATGAGTGAGGGGATGTGACTCCGGATATGCATGGGGATGATAAAATGGAGGGAAAATATGCCATTCCATCATGGGACTCCATAACATTTTTGGTAAAAGAATAAAGGGTACGGTCACTGCTAAGGGTGTTTTCACTTGACGGATAAAACGTTTAAGATGAATCAATCCTAAACACGTAACTCGCTAGGTGTTTAGGGTTGATCTGTTCCCAAACCGCATCTGATTCCGATTGGGCTTTAGTTTTTTTAGAAGATAGCTTATTGGTTAGGCGCGAGTGGGAATTTTGTTGAGTTTCAAGCTTTATTGGCGGGCGTTGCATGTGTGACCATTCGCGTAATTTTTTATCTGTTATTAGTGACTGAGTCCGTGACCCCACTTATCAAACCCTGTCAGAATAATATATAATTCTATATATTGTTTTATAACTGCCTGTAGTGTAGAATACTTTAGTCATACAACTTTCTGTTTGGTGGTGCACCTTTCTTCATTCTTGCCTATTTGTACTGCTTGCTCTATAGTGAACAACCTTTTTTGTTGCAATCTTTCTCCTCTCGATACTCTCGTCAACTCCCTTCCTAGCACCTAAGGTTTCCAGGCCTCCTAGGTTCTAGAACTGTTTTAACATGTTATCAGAGTGGTTCCTATCCTAGGACCTGATTTTTTTTTTCCCATGGGCCCACCGCATATCGCTCCTGCCATGGCTCTCGTCGCGGCCCCAGCTGTGCCCGTTCAGCCGCTCGTCGTGAAGGTTGCGAAGTCGAGCGTGGCGAGCTTGGTGCTGTTTGTCGCGGCCCCAGTCGGCGGCCCCGTCGCCTACCCATCGCGCCCTCCTGCAACCTCGTCACGCCCTGTCGCGGCCCCGAGCGTCTGCATTGACGGTCGCTTTGGGGGGAGACGGCGGGTGTGGCGGCCAAGCTGCTTCAGTCGCCAAACGCGCCCCTTGCCCCGCCCTCCCGTCAAACATGCGGCTGCTACGACTGCAGCTGCTAACAAAATACTAGCGTGAGTTTGGCTTAGGAGCCATAGTTTAGGAGCCTTGGTAGTTGAGTTCGAGTTTAGGAAAAGTATCGAGAGGTTTTGGAAGGAGAGGAATGGGGTTTCACTAGCAAGAGTTGGGAAACAAGTACAACACCCTAAATTGGGTTGTACTCATTACAGAGTACCCCACTGCAGGCTAGACAGCAAATACATTTTGACACACCCCCATAGCCAAAGTGGGGTGTAATCAGCACAATGAGCAAGCATAGAGCAAGAGTTCACAATAGGTAAGTAAGGCTAGAGCTAATCACAGAGGGCAAGTGAGGAGGAGAGACTGTGGGGGAGAGAAGATGGGAGGCGATTGTTGACGCTGCAGACACACAGACGAGCTGCTGGCTCAGTGGCTACCGTAACAGCGCTCCGGACTACTTGGGTAACTGGCCCCGCGGCTAAAAGTAGCGGCAGACGAGCAACGGACCCACGGGCGACTGGCGACTACCGGAGATTGCAGCCTCCGGACTGCTGCTGCTGCTGACGACAAGACTTCTGCCTCCACTCAACCTCCCCAGCTGCCTAACGCCCTTCTCACACACCCCCTGCTCAAACCCTAGCCCTACACCCACGGCACCCCCTTAAACCCTAAACCCCAGACTCCCACACATCCACCCCCCTCAGCGAGAGCTGCAGTAGTGGGAGACGAAGGAGGAGGAGGAGGAGGAGGAGGGAACGACACGCACAACCGACACCCCCACAACCATCACCCCCACACCCACCCCCCAACGGCTGCACCGGGTCCAGGAGCGGCTGCTGCAGGGGCCAGGAGCGGCTGCTGCAGCGGCGGTTGCTCCAGGGGCTGCTGCTGCTGGGGCGGCTGCTCCAGGGGCTGCTGCTGCTGGGGCGGCTGCACCAAGGGCTGCTGCTGGGGCGGCTGCTCCAGGGGCTGCTGCTGCTGGGGCGGCTGCTCCAGAGGCTGCTGCTGCTGGGGCGGCTGCTCCAGGGGCTGCTGCTGCTGAGGCGGTTGCTCCAGGGGCTGCAGCTGCTGGGGCGGCTGCTCCAGGGGCTGCTGCTGCTGAGCGGCTGCTGCAGTAGCGGCGGCTCCAGGGGCTGCTGCTGTTGGGGCGGCTGCTCCAGGGGCTGCTGCTGCTGGGGCGGCTGCTCCAGGGGCTGCTGCTGCTGGGGCGGCTGCTCCAGAGGCTGCTGCTGCTGGGGCGGCTGCTTCGGGGGCTGCTGCTGCTGGGGCGGCCGCTGAAGTGGCGGCGGCTCCAGGGGTTGCTGCTGCTGGGGCGGCTGCTCCAGGGGCTGCTGCTGCTGGGGCGGCTGCTCCAGGGGCGGCTGCTGTTGCAAGGCAGGCCGCTCCAGGGGCGGCTGCTTCAGGGGCGGCGGCTCCAGGGGCGGCTGCTGCAGCGGAAAGTAGGAGGGAGGGGAGGGGAAGGGCGTGGCCCCCATTGTGCCCTGACGGGCGATGTGTTAGGGAGCCGCGCAGGTCCCCAAAAGTGCCTCGTCTGGCAACGAGAGGGGACTGCGCGCAGGCCCCTAAGGCGCCGCGACGAGGCAACGGGAGGGGCCGGCTCGCGGGCCCCGAAAGTGCCGCGACGAGGCGACAGGAGGGACCTGCGTGCGGGCCCCCAAAACGCCTCGACGAGGCGACGGTCGGGGCCAGTGCGCGGGCCCCTAAGACGCCGCGACGAGGTAGGAACCCGCCGCGCGCCTCGGGGCGCACGGCGGGCAGAAAACTGCCACGCGCTCCGAGCGCGTGGCGGGAAGAAAAATGGGATGTCGCACGCCACGGGGCGCGCGACACACAGTAGGGCAGCGTAATCGAGTGGGCCCACAGGCCAGGAACGTTAAGCTTTGATAACATGACAAAATACTAGCGTGAGTTTGGCTTAGGAGCCATAGTTTAGGAGCCTTGGTAGTTGAGTTCGAGTTTAGGAAAAGTATCGAGAGGTTTTGGAAGGAGAGGAATGGGGTTTCACTAGCAAGAGTTGGGATACAAGTACAACACCCTAAATTGGGTTGTACTAATTGCAGAGTACCCCACTGCAGGCTAGACAGCAAATACATTCTGACAGCTGCCACGCAAGCAACTGCGAGCTGTGCGATGGCGCTCGTCGCGGCACCTGTTGCACCCACCCATTTCTCCCCCCCCCCCTACCCGCGATCTCGCGAACGCCAACCACGCCCGATGCCGTGTCTTCCACTGTGGACGAAGGTGTGGCGGGGGGGGGGGGGGGAAGGGGGAGGCGCGAGGGTGGTTGACGACTCTCTGTTCGCTGCTGCGCCACACCGCTGCGCCGCCACACGCCGTCCCTTCTCTCTCCCTGCTACGCGTGCAGCAGTGGGGGGGGGAGGGTTTGGGGTGGCGGGTGTGAGCAAGAAGCTGCCGTCCCTCCTCTCTCTCTCACTGCCGCACGTGTCGCTGTGGGGGGGAGAGTGAGGGGGCGACGGAAGTCAGCCGGTCATCTGCTGCTGTCGCCCGCTGCTCCCGTAGCACCTCCAGCTGCCGCCCCTGCTACCACCTTCCTTTGCTGCCTTTGCTTCTGCTACCTGCTGCTGGGGCCTGCAGGTGCTGCCGTTGAGCCGCTGCTGTCCTGCTGCATGTTGCAGCCACAAAGCCTGCTCCTCAGGTGACCTGCCGCCCCAACACCTGCTACTGTTTATGCCTTTGTCAAGGGGTTGGTACAGCTGGATCTGCCATCACTGCACCGGTTGCCACTGCACTTGCCTGTTGCTGTGATTTCCGCTGCGGCCTGTCTGGTGTACCCCATTATGGGGGCGTTGACTGCACATTCTTCCCTATAGGCACTTATGGGGGCGTGTCAGAATAATATATAATTCTATATATTGTTTTATAACTGCCTGTAGTGTAGAATACTGTAGTCATACAACTTTCTGTTTGGTGGTGCACCTTTCTTCATTCTTGCCTATTTGTACTACTCGCTCTATAGTGAACAACCTTTTTTGTTGCAATCTTTTTCCTCTCGATACTCTCGTCAACCCCCTTCCTAGCACCTAAGGTTTCCATGCCTCCTAGGTTCTAGAACTGTTTTAACAAACCCGTCTCTAAATGTGATACAGTGACCGTTCGCGTTTTCTATTTACCATTCACGTTATTGAGTTCCAAGTTGGTTACTTATGGAATATTTTCCCTAAGATGGATGGCTATGGGGATTAACCTAGGAACAGGGATGGGATTGGGAAACGTATGGTCATGGAAATTACACAAGGGGGGCAGGAATAGGGAAAAAGGTGGTCATGGGGATTGCACTAGGGATGTGCATGGGATTGTACAAAGGGTGGTTATGGGAACTGTGCTACAGCTGGGAATGGAGTCCGGAAAGAGCTGGTCGTGGGGATTGGACATTAGCAATGATGAGGATGGAGATGCGAGAACGAATGGCCATGGGCATGGGAATTTTGATGGGTTATTAATATTGGGATGGGTCTGTAAAAATATATAGGGATGGGAGTAGGATTCGAATGCGGATGGGACTAGGATGGGCGTGTGGATGGGAGTTTGGATTGGCACAAAGATGAGAATGGGCATGAAGATGGGATTGGAAAAATGTGGGTCCTGGGATTGTATGGTAGCAAGGATGGAAATAGAGATGGAAAAATGGATGGCCATGAGCATGAGACTTGGGATGGGGGATGGAAGTAGCGATGAGCATGGGGATAGGACGAGGGACGGGCATAAACGGAATGGACATCACGATGCAAAGCTGGATCGACATTGAGAAGGGGTATGACCTTGGGGATGGGCTTATGTACGGGCATTTGATGAAAAGAACAATGGGATATGGAATCATGATATAGGCATGTGGATGGGAATAGAGATAGGAATGGGGATTGGGAAAGGGGTGGTCACAGACATTAGACGATAACAAGGATGAACATTGCGATGGGGGAATAAATGGGAGTGGGCATGGGACTAGGGATGCGGGATGCGAGTTGGGATGGGCACGTAGACGGAAGTAGTAATGTGGATGGAGTTGGGATAAGCACAGGTATAAGAATAGGGATTGGCATGGGGAAGGGACTAAGGATGCATGAGGATGAAGATGGGATGGGCATGGGGATGGGCCGGGGGATTCGCGTGGGGACGGCCGTCGAGATCGGCGTAGGGTTGGGACTAGGAATGGACATGGGAGGGGAATAGTGACTAGAGATGGGCGTGGGCATGGGGTTGAAATAAGGTAGGATGGGATTACGGGTGGCATTAGATTGAGAAAGGGATGTGCGTAGGGATGGAACGAGGGACGCGCATGATGTGGTGAACTTGAGCGATAAATCCATTCTAATGGCCTTTTTTTAGCCTGCGATCTTAATTATATCTTTAATAGAGTTTGATGGATTGGGGAGGGTCCACAGAACGAGTACTTGAAGCAGTGCAAATATGACGCCCATAAATAGAAAATTTACAGTCTGCCTCCAAGGAGAAGCTCTTCTGTGCCAAATTTGGCATTGCAGAAAAGTAGAATATCGTACAGGCTTGTGGTGAGATGTTCGAGAAATATATACAATGCAAACCGTACACACACCAGGGAACACACAGATTTGGCCTACCTGAAAATAACACACACTACCAAGCACGCAGCAAACTTACGCTACTTCTACTACCGTAATCTCACCTCAATCTCGAATAACCTGTCCTCCTGAACGGCATCATCAAGCCACGACTGGAGGTCTTTTCGCATGCTTGCTGGTGCAAAGTCTGAAACACGAATAGTGCTGGTTCCTCCAAGGAACGAAAACACCTCTGCCGGGATCAAAGATGCAGCCACCACCTGCTTGGCTTGCATTTGGAACACTTCAACCGGGACTGAGCCTACTCTATGCACTGGGCCTATGGGTGCATGGCCTAAAATGTGCTCGCCCACGGGTGTTCGCTGCATCAAGCCTCCACGCTGAACACCCTGTGACAGCACTTGCGTGGATTGTACTGGCACACAGAGATTGGAGTCCTCTGGTGGTAGAGAGCCTTGGAAATGCTGTCGTGCTAAAGCTTCTCGCATCGAACCTGTGCTGCTTATGATTGCCATGGCTGCTGCACTTTGCATGTTCACATCTCCATTAGTTATAGTCACTGCATCTTGCATGTACACACCCTTATCAGCCATGACTGCTGCTCCAAGTAGGCTGTTGGCAAGGATTGGCGTTTGGACAGAAGGGGATAGAGCAACTGATGCACTGGGAATGTGGTCCTCACCCATTCTGTGTTGGCGTTTGATTGTGTTGCCAGGTGGGTGAGCAAGTAAAGGAAGAAAGTGCTTTCTGTGGCGTTTTACATCAGCCTCTGTGTGACTTGTGCTGCAGGGCTTGAAACTGGTGCTCCAGGGCTTGTAATCGGTGCAGCAGGGGTTGTAGCCGGTGCTGCAGTGCTTGAAATCGGTTCTGCAGGGCTTGAAACCGGTGCTGCAGGCCTTGTTGCGGTGTGTGCAGAAGGTGCTGGGTGGCCTGTCAGAATTGGTGCTGCTGGCCCTGGGTGTGATGGGAGTTGTGGATGTTGTTGGATCTTCCACCTCGCAGGGCTCTGCGGCTGATCGCACAATGCTGGTGGGCGGTTCAATGATGGTGGGAGGCTCATTGATGGTGGGCGGTTCAACGAGGGTGGGCGGCGGCTCAATGATGGTGGGCTGCAGAACGAGGGCGGGCGGCTCTACGATGGTGGTCTGCACATGATTTCTCAAGGCACGTGGCTCTGCAGGCGCTTCACGCTCTCTATGCGCACATGTGCAGTCATGGGCAGAGGTGGTTGCGCAGGCACAGATGCTGTTGTAGGCGGAGAGAGTAGGCTCACCCCAAGCTGCACCCATGGCATACACCTCCTCAGTCTTCTCTTCCTTTTGAACCCATGAGGCACGGTTACTTGCACTGGCATGAGCATAGGGAGGGGAGGCAGGCAGATGCGTGCCCAGGGCTGAGGCAAGGCTCTTATAAAGCTTTCGAAAAGGCCTAGTTTCAAGCGTATGAGGAGTCCCTGTTTCAGGTGTGTGGCGCAAGGCAATGCCTGCTTGACTTGACATCTTACAGGGGCTTCCTGTGAGAAATTGTGAGGCAGGGACTCTTGGGCTGGAGAGAGCACCAGGCATAGCAGCAGATATGGTCTCTAGAATGTCTTGGGCAGGGCGCTCTGTGATAGAATCCGCAAACGACAGCAGCAAAGCCGTCAAGTTCCACGATGGATGTTGCTGTTCTTGATGTTGCTGCTGATTGGGTTGCAGTTGCTGGTGCATCGATGGCGGTTGTTCCTGCTGTAGCAGCTGCTGTTGCTGCTGCTGCTGCTGCTGCTGCTGCTGCTGCTGCTGCTGCTGCTGCTGCTGCTGCTGCTGCTGCTGCTGCTGCTGCTGCTGCTGCTGCTGCTGCTGCTGCTGCTGCTGCTGCTGCTGCTGCTGCTGCTGCTGCTGCTGCTGCTGCTGCTGCTGCTGCTGCTGCTGCTGCTGCTGCTGCTGCTGCTGCTGCTGCTGCTGCTGCTGCTGCTGCTGCTGCTGCTGCTGCTGCTGCTGCTGCTGCTGCTGTTGGGGCTGCTGCTGCTGTTGGGGCTGCTGCTGCTGCTGCTGCTGCTGCTGCTGCTGCTGCTGCTGCTGCTGCTGCTGCTGTTGGGGCTGCTCCTCCTGCTGCTGCTCCTCCTGCTCCTGCTGTTGTTGCCACAGCGACGGCCCATCCCCCTGGGTCAGAATTCCAGGAGCACCAGATGCAGTACAGCTGTCTGTCCAAGATTTTATGTGAGTCAACCCAAAAACCGTCTGCAGCGCGTCCCACTGGTCCAGAATCCCAGGCGCATGGGCTGCAGCAAAGCCATCAGCCACAGCAGCACGACCGTCAGCCAGAGGAGCGCCATCAGCCCCAGCAGCACCCACAACAAGCTTCATTGGTATATCCCTCTGCTTCAAGCTCCCAGACGCGTGGGATGCAGCACAGCCGTCAGCCGCAGGAGCACAGCCGTCAGTCGGTGCTGCCCAGTGGGTAAAACTTCCACGGGCATGCGATGCAGCAGCGCCATCGGCCACAGGAGCACAACCATTAGCCACAGCAGCGCATCCGTCACACTCAGCAGCACACACCACAGGCCTCATCGGTGTAGCCCAGTGGGTCAAGATCCCAGGAGCATGGGATGCAACACAGCCATCAGCCACAGGAGCACAGCCATCAGCCAGAGCAGCCCAGCCTTCAGCCGCAGCAGCATCCAGCAGAGGCCTCAGCAGTCTTGCCAGCACAGCTGCTGAACGACCATCCACTGGCCCCTCACTTCCGCCTTCCCTTGTTAGGAAGGATTGCTCTGCGATGCTCCTCACACAACCTGCTGCCTGCTCCTCATGATATGTTGCTGACTTTTCATAATAAGTTGACAGAGGTCCCACATGGTTGAGACTGCTCCGAGGTAGATGCGTTTGGTGCTCCTGGGCCATAGGCGCTCTTGCTCCCAGCTGCGGGTAAGCATCATGCAGCAAACCTTCCTCCTCATCATGCAATCGATGCCTCTGACTTTCTCCTTGATAGATGGTCCGCGTTTCCTCAGGCACTGTAGGCCGCCACATGTCAGGAGCTGTGTTTTTGTTGAATTCAGTGGAGAAGCCACTAGGGAGGATACGCCCAGCTGGGTGCAGAGCAGATGGTTGGAGGTGGGTCGGCAGGGGCAACACGGACGGAAGGCTCTGCGTACGCAGCCATTCATGGATGTGTCTCTGCTCCTCGTGACAGGGAGAGTGCAAGAGGGCTGCTGCACCAGCAGCAGCACCATCTCCAGAAGCAGTAGTAACAGCAGCAGCAGAGGCACCGACAGGAGAACCAGCACCACCAGCAGCACCACCACCACCACCAGCACCAGCACCAGCACCAGCACCAGCGGCAGCATCAGGTGCACCGTCACCACCATGAGCAGTAGCAGCACCAACACCAGCAGCAGCACAAGCACCATCATTAGAAGCTACAGCAGCACAACCAACATTGAAAGCACTGCCATCAACAGTCACTCCCACGCTCCCATGCTGTACGGCTTGCACGAGGGCCTCCAGGTCGCCACAAGAAGCAGCAAGTTGAATGGCCTCAGGTGCTGCGGCGGAGCCAACCGCGCCATGTGAAGCCGGAAGGTTGATATGGTGGTCACCAGGGAGGTTAGCAACAGGGGCGCTAGGGTAGTAGGGCGTACGCCGAGTTGGAGCTCCTGGGTGGTTGTGGAGTCGGCATTTGTAAGTGACGTGGATAGAGTCGGGGCTGTTGATGTCGACAGTCTTCTTGGCAGGGCAGCGAGGGATGGCCTTGGCAAGACTGCACTTGTAGTAGCACCTGTCAGGGCGAGGAGAGCACGAGGGAAGACGGAGATAACAGGATTCTCAGTTCGAGTAAAAAGACATGGATAAGGGATGGCACAAGTGCTCAACCAGACCTAACGGGACGCGCAGCAGAGTCAGGAGTCACGCGAGGCTGACCTGGTGGCACTGGACTGGTTCAATCTTTTCTGGCCGTACTTGAGCCAGTTGTGCCCATCGGAGGCCACCACCTTCGCCACCACCCCCTCCAACCCCCGCAGCCCAAGCTCCTGCCGGTGCTGCTGCGGCTCACAGCCGCGCCACTCCTGCTGAGGGCCACTGGCAGTTGCTTGCTGAGGATTCGTCAAGTGCCAACTCGGTGTGGCCCATTTCAAAGCCATTTCCATAATGGAGATGATAACTCGCAGGCAACTCAGGGCATAATTGCTCGCAGACAGCTCGTGGGAGCCACTCGTTATGACAACTCATAGAATCGACCTCCCGGGAATGAGGGTTACCCAGAAGTGCCCTCCAGACAGCCGAGGGGTTTGGTGGGAAGGGTATGGGAAGGGTGGTAGCACTCACACAGAAAGTTAATGTTGAGGCGCCGGCTTGCGGTTAAGGCACTCTACAAGTCGTGAGCATTCTCAGACTTGGAAAATGAAGCAAAAGAATGAGTCCAGCAGTGCTAAGACATGGTTTAGTACTGTAGTGACTAGCATCAGCTCGGCCTCCATTCATTCTTGATAAGCTGTTGAGGCAATGCACCTCAAGTTCCGTGACTGTCAGAAATAACACGTGGTCTTCAGAGCTGTCACAGAGCCTCCAGTGGAAACGAAACCCTGCCAGGGTCGGTGGGCGACGCCCCGGGCGTGAGAAACGCAGGCGTGAGGATTTTGATTCGACTGTGAGAGGTTGGGCGTGATTCGATCGTGAGTTGCTCCGCTAGGAGCCACACCACCCACGTGATAGCGCTGTGAACCTGAGGTTGGGCGGACTCAGGGCAGGACGGTAGAAGGAAACGGCAATGATCATGGACTGAAAGATTTTTTCAAACAGGCTGTTCGTAGGAAGTTTCACTGTGGGTCCACTGGCTTGTGTCAATTATGTATCAATACAATATTACAGCACATAATCTTGGCTCGTAATATGATTGGCTCCTCCTCCTGTACGACAAAAAAGCACCGCGCGCGGCGCTTCCAGCCAGCTCTGGCAACACATTCGCCTTGCCTGTTGCACCTGGCACTGATCGTTGGTCAGGCCTCCTGTCATGACTTGTTTTAACACAAAAAAATCAAACTAACTAAACAGCGAAATTGGCAGATAATGGCGAGTCGCATAAGCTATTTAAAAGGCTTGTCAGTCAGTTTTACGGAAAGTAGGGTTTCTGAGGTGAGGTTACCAGAAGGTGGTATTCGCTGATCCGACTTCAGTAGGTTGTGTGGCGGTTGTGTACACCTAGTCCGCGGTATTTTAACCAGGTGAACTTTGTTCTTTCAAACCCCCTTTGCTCGTTTCTGGGTAATGTTATTAGCACACAGAGAATTCGAGGCTACGATTCTGCAGCCGAAAGCACTTCCATCTAAGGAACTCACACTTAGTGCTCCAAGATAGACGGATTGAAATTTGTCACACTCGGCATTCACTGAGTTTTTTCTGCTGTCATCTCGCGAAGGGAATGCTAGATTCTACCCTCGTAAATTTTGAAACAACCCGTCTAAATAAGTTTGATAAAGGAGAAGTACCCTCGCGTGGTTAAGATAGCGCCGGTTTAAATACCGCGGACTAGGTGTATGGGGCGAGAAGGCTGCACACATGGGGTTATCACAGTTGCATGCTCAACTTGTGAGAGAACTATTCTTTCACCTAACATTCGCACAAATCTGCTATAATACATGAGGCACCCTTAGAGTTTTCTGGTTGGGAGGTCTTAAGCTATAAAACTTTTGCCAGAAAAAGGGTGAGAAAAGCCCGTGGGCGCGCTCTGGTCGCGATGCGATTCCAATTACAATCATTCTTGTTCGAGAAAATGATGCGAATACCCCCCGTAATAATGCAGGGGTGATATTGGCGGGGGTGTTTGCCTTTCAACGCGCTTTGAAAGAATACGGGCCACTGACCACTGGTAAGAAACGGGCAGGGGTGCTTGCCTTTCAACGCGCTTTGCTGTTGATATTGGCGGGGGTCATGTGTACAACCAAATCATTGCTTCTACGCTACATGAGTGGCTCAAATTCCAGACCGCTTGAATTATGGGTCATCGAAATGATGACCAAGTTCAACAAGTTTCACGAGTGAACTATGCGTGATAGTGTTTTTATTTATATTATTATTAACGAGTAACAAAGAGGGGTCATAGAAGAGTGACTAGCATGATAGATTTGGCGGAAGAAGTGACGATCTGTGATAGAAAAGTGACCACCTGTGATTAATCCGAAAGTTTCAATAACTGCCCGTAGAAAAAACCTTTGAAGTACAGTAACGGCCAAAGTTCTGCCCAAACTTGCTGTGAGCGGCCTTGCGCGAAGGTTGGAGCATGCACTGGCGGATTTCCTGGAGTTCGCGATCGCGAGGATCCTCCACGTATGCTGTAACCACAAGTTCATACGCGCTAAGGAGGACGCAAGCAGATACACGAACTCGTTGCGAACGAAGCGAATATAACGAAAGAAATTGCATCTAAAGCTCATGACAATTCTCTTTGGTCGCTACCAGGGCTGTCGCTTGCAGGGCGTTTGCCCTGCTGGACCTTGAATTCCAGGGCTGGGTTGCCCTTGAAAACTGAAATTGATGGGTTGGAAATATTCTGGCCCTGATTCTTTACAGGGCTGATTTCGGGCTCAGGCTTGGAGTGTTAAGGGCAGATTTTAGGCGAGCCATGGAACAAAATCTCTCGAGACCCCCCTTCCACTCCCCTCCCCCCCCCCAACACTCCTCCCTCTCCTTCCCCTTCTTTTCTAACCTGATTGCATCGAACAAGGCAATTTCGAGTTGCTTGGTTGGGCCACAAATTCAACTCAGCCTAGAACTTGTGCTTAAACCAATCACAGCTCGCTCTCTGTGGTGTGGGTGACGGTTAAGGTTGGGTAGAAGTGCACAAGAACACCCTGAAGGTTGGGTAGTAAAGATGTGCAGACGATCATCAGTTCTGCAAAGGCTAGGAAGCCTGCAAAGCGTGCGTAGTGATATGACGCTAACTATTTCTCTTCTTGTCGTGTTTGCTTGCTTGTCGTTGATCTCAAGCGTAGTTGTAAGCTTGGTAGTTGAAATGAGGCTCCCGATTTTTCGCGCCAAACCTGATTCAAGGGAGGAAAAATTTCTAGCCCTGAAGCCTGAAGGGCCGAGATTCGCCCCAGCCCAGCTAAATACAGGGTCATACATGCCGGGCCCCCTGATTTGTCCGGGGGGCCCAAAACGAAACAACAGGCCTGGTCGCTACCAGTTCCACGCCCTAGACATTGCTTTAGGGCGAGGCCAGGATGTTCGCACACTTCATCCATCATCTCGCAAAATGATTCCACACAGTGCACAGCAATATCAAGCTTCACCGTTTCAAACCGTGACGCAACAAGGATAACCGCACAGAATGAACTGAAATGAACTGCCTCGCACGGAGAGATGTTGGTGCATTTTTTGCCACATTCCTCTTTCCCTGTCGCAGCAACAAAACCCCTTGAATACGTTGCGACATCTTTCCGCGTTTCCAGCCGAATCGCTCTCTCATTCGCGTGTCTCTCACCCCGATCCTCTCGCCGCCATGGTGTGCATTCGGCAGGCCACCGTAAGTCGTGAGTCGTGACCCAGCCTTGCTCGACTGCACTTTTCCGGAGCCGAATTCTCAGCGCGCAGTCCTTTTGAAAGAAAAAAATCCTCTTACCTATTTTTTTCACCTAATGCGCCATTGACCTTGACTGAAATCGTCCAAATTTAGGATAACGGTCGTTCCTGAAGACTCAGGAAGGCTAGCTAAGGTTCTGTGTCGACCAACGTGGGAGTGTCGTTTTCTTTGAAAGTAGAGACTCAGCTGTTGCGATATGGCTCAGTATGGCTCACATTGCGTGCGCTGCCGTTTGCGCGATTTCTCGTCATGCTTCTCTCATCGCGTCCCTTCTCCAACCTCCGATTTCATCCCCGTTTTGAGCAGCGGATGCGTCTCAGCATCGAATTCCCCGGTGTATCGCAAACGTGTGCAACTGATGACCCTGGTTTCCTTTCTCGAACCTTTTAGCGGCAACGGACATCTAACCCCTCTTGTTCTCACCCCTAACCCTAACCCTCTTGCCCTTGAACCCCTCTTGATTTTGAATCCCTCTTGCCTTTCCACCCCTCTTGCCCTTCCACCCCTCTTTCCTTCCACCCCTCTTGCCCTTCCACCCCTCTTTCCTTCCACCCCTCTTGCCCTTCGACCCTCTTTCCTTTCCACCCCACTTTCCCTTGCACCCCTCTCGCCCCCCTTGCACCCCTCTCGCCCCACTTGCACCCCTCTCGCCCCCTTTGCACCCCTCTCGCCCCCTTTGCACCCCTCTCGCCCCTTTTGGAACTGTCGCGGGCAGGTGGAGGACCTGCTGGCCATGCAGAGCTGCAACCTGATGTGCCTTCCGGAGAACTACCAGATGAAGGTGCGGGGATGGTGATGGTGGGATGGTGGGATGGTGGTGGGTTGGGGAGGAGGATGGTGGTGGGCTGATGGGGTCAGTGTGCAGGTGGAGGACCTGCTGGCCATGCAGAGCTGCAACCTCATGTGCCTGCCTGAGAACTACCAGATGAAGGTGGGGTGGGGGGAGGGAGGATGATGGATGATGGTGGGAGGTGGAGTAGTTGGATGGAGGATGGTGGGGATGTAAAGATGGTGGGATGATTGGATGACGGAGACAGAATGTGAGGGGGAAGGAGATATTATGAAGTTAGGAGAAAAATGATAAAGAGAAAGGTGGCGGTTTCTCCCTTTGTCCAAACCCCCACCCTTCCTCCTGCCTTTTCTATGCCCCCTCCTCTCCCCTCCCTGCCCACCCGCTCCCCTTACCTCCCTCTTAGTACCAACTGTACTGCAACCTATCATGTCCTGACCTATTGTTCTCTCCTCGCCCCCCCACCCCACTCCTCCCCACCCACGCCCCCGCCCTCTCCCCTATCCCCTCCCCTCGGTGCAGTTATACCTGTTCTACATCCTGTTATGCTTCTTGACATAGTGTTATATTCTCCCCTTCCCTGGGGTCCAATCTGTAGGGATTTTTTTAGAATTCTCTAGGGTTTTTTTTAGAATTCTCTAGGGTTTTTTGAAGAATTCTCTAGGGATTTTTTGAGAATTTTCAAAAAATCCCTACAGCTTCTTGACATAGTGTTATATTCTCCCCTTCCCTGGGGTCCAATCTGTACAACATTCTGTAATTTCTCAATCTAC